GATGCAGCGAGAAGCCATTTGAACGAGTCAACCTGACTCCGTTGACAGTCACAAATCAGAGGGCGATGCCGAAACTACAGTGCCCTCCATCGAACCCCAGGAATCGGATGGATAAATTGTCAAAAAAACGCATCTCTATCATATAAGCCCGTGATCTAATAGTACATAATACACAAATTAAGTTAACGCTATAGCTTTCTCTTGCCAGAAATAAGCTCAAACTCCTTTTCCGAAGTCTTTTCGAGCTCTCTTTTAACCCAAGCTCCTATACTTGAAGCAGCCTCTTGAGGGCTCTCCAAATGTAACTGAAAGAAGCCCTGCAATAATGATGGTGTGAACGTATCGTCGGGAATTTCTTTCCCAAATTCCGCAGCAAGCTTCTTGATCTCATCCATATCAAGATGCGAGGTGCATCCAAGATCAGGAGAAAACATACGGATAAACATCTCCTCGGCTGACTTTCGACTGATGTTGCCCAGGAGAACCTTCATATCGACTCGCCCTGGCCGTACCAGCGCGCTGTCCAGCTGCTCAGGGTGGTTGGTAGTCATGATAATGATGCGTCCTTCGACAGAACCGACGCCATCCAATACATTCAAAAGCCCTGAGAGAGTGCAATTAGGTGCGGAACTTCCTTCTTGCCCATTATCTGAATTTGAACGATCCGTCCAAACTGCATCGATATCTTCGAGTAATACAACACAACGTGGAGGAATTTCTTGAAACATCTGCTCCAGATCTGCATCCGTGGCAACGCTAGGAATCTTCACTTCATAAAGATCCAGTCCAAATTCGCCGGCGATTGCAACCGAAAGCGATGACTTTCCAGTTCCAGGGGGACCGTAAAATAGATAACCTCGCCTATAAGGCATACTCCGACTCTGATATCTCTTCTGCGTCTTGGGATCAAGATAAGTTCGAATATCGCCGAGAAGCTCTTGTTTCGTCTCATTATCGAAGTGAACGGTCTCTAAATGTCGAATCGGTTTCCGTGCCTTTGGTTTCCATGAAAGACCATAGCGATCTCGAGCGTAGATAATCACGAAAAACTGTGTTTGCCGATCTGAATACTCTCGGCATGATTCGATAAAGGCTTTGATGGGCTCAGCCGACCAGCCAAAGCAGCTCACAGTGATCTCTTCTCCTCCAACGCCATCATAACTAGGGTCCGATAAAGAAGAGCTGAAGTCGTCGATTCTGCGTGTCACAAGAAACAGATTTCCCTCATAAAATAGCCATCTTGTGTTCCAATGGGGCGAATACTGGATAGAATGCTTTGTCTTTTTAAGGGCTGCGGCGCGATCTCCATTCTGACCGATATCGGTGCGTCCATGAAATGAGCGATAATGTCGTTCCCGATTAGCGAGAATCCATTTGACAACACTTCTGTTGAGAGGGTCACCCCCTGGAATTGTCACTGATGCGAGAAAGAAGCGTCGTATTGTGCCGTAGACTTCATGCCATATACGATGCAGAAATCTCCAAGCTGTAGGGACTGTTCCGGCAATGGCGATGAGCGATCCGATCTGTGTGATGTCGAGTTCTGACCAGCGCGAGACAACATCTCTCATGATACCGATTCCTTGCGACATTGGATCGAGAAGATGCTGTCCGGTAGCAGCGCCAACGTGGAAGTGATGAGACATATTCTCAATGCTCACCAAGTTGGCGACGTGCTCAATTGAAGCTCAGCGTGGGGTGCAATTGAGCGACCATTGAGAGGTATAGCTTCAAGAGACGAAGATTAAAGAAAAGACAGCCAAAAAATAAAACAATTACATCGGTTTAAAGAGCGACAAGAAAGATCAATTAAGAATACTGTACAGATTGATAGGGGATTCCGTCATACTGTAACCCAGAAATTTGTCAAGTTTTGGTAGCAATTGAAGATTTGCCATGGTTCCCCGCCTACTATTCTTGGTAAGGCGCCCCTTTTTATCCATCCCGATCCCTGTTGACGTCGCCGTTGGGGGTTTAATCTTGCTATCATTTTTGTCTTATTTCCGCGAGGCGCACAGAGATCTCAACGTACTCACAGGCACTTGGGGGTCTATCCAACAAATTAATCTGGGGACAATGTTTTGATCCCAGGCCGATTACATTATGCTGATCTGAAAATGTACAAAAACATATGATGGACCACCAGCGAAATGCGAGCTGTCAAATGATAACTCTGACTGAACAGAAGCTTAAGATTTCACAAATTAACTAAATATAACGTGCCGGCTTTCGAAAGCCCGAAACCCGTCTCATCGCAGTCTTATCTGATCTTGTTAACGATCACATCAACAATGATAGTGAAATGTCCACTTTGGGGCTTGATCTGGATATTATATCCAAGAGAGCGAGGAAAATCAGAAGACATGAAAGGTTCATCAACCAGCTCGAAAAATGTTTCCCCACTCAGACCAAGCGACTTCATAATAAGGGGCAGTTCCTACACCAAAGATCTGCACGGGACAATGGATGTTGACTCCGAACCAGGAGCCATTGGGTGCATACCAGATACAGTATCCGTCCATGTCACCCTGTGCTCAGGCCCCATTGGTAAAGAACCACGCTAGAGTTGTTGAACCAGTGCGGAAATGTTATCTGGCATAGCCTTCACAGACAAGATCCAGGATGGGTGCACTTGAGCATCGTAAAGAGTGAGAAGCTCACCCACTGTTTGATTCCACCAGGTAAGGATGTACGTGACATCTATATCACGGGAATCCTGCGGTTTTGGATTGGAAGACGAAGCATCTGTAGTCTTGGCTCTGTGCTGCTTTAATGCTTCGATGGCCGCTTCATGTAGTTTCGGATCTTCATCCACGATTATCATGCGTTCTTGTGAATTGTGATCGATGTAAAGGATTCTAACCATCGACGATTGATTTGGGTGTGTAGTGGCCTGATCGCCGATGCTCAGGCGGAGGAGGAGGACCTCTTTTGTCTATGAGCTTGGCCACACGACGTGAATTTGTTTTGACGTAAGAGGCGACACATTTGACTAATTAGTGACTGCCTCGACACAAATGTTAGTTACTTACCTTCTGGATGAGCAACTTTAGTCAACCAGTCTCCTGCTTGAGCAAGGCAGCCTATAATTTCTTCTGTACCCCGATCCTCCACAAGAAAAGAGGTACTGGTGCCAGTAACATTAAGCCTGTTTGCTGGTTCGAGCCATAAGGAGAAAGAAAAGTCTGCTGCCTAGATGTATACTGCCTTTATGCACAGAAACACAGTATCAGAGAGTAGGTGAGCTTTCCAGGCATCAGGACCCTCAGAAATTGCTCTGGCGAACGAGTTAACAGCTCGTTCAGAATCGAATTGACTGAGCCATAAGGTCCATCTAGCCACCAATCCGATTCCCCTCCCCAGCGTAATCCAAAGCGAGGCACGATTTATAAAATAGTTCGCTAAGATTCGGAAAGTAGTAGTTGTCGTATGAGGTCTGATTGACAAAAGCTGGAAACCCTACGCTTCTTATATTCAACACTGGCCGCTTGCAAACGAACATACTCTACTAACAATTGATTCGGAACCGGGAAGGCGGCAATGAAACCGCATATGATATGCAATATCATTCGCTGAGCTCACACGGAAGGCTTTAGTGACACAGCCACCAACTCGTATTAGCTTCAGCTTTCAAGCCTGATGGCGTGAAGATCTCGTATTGCAACTTCTCCGCTATGCTTTGCGATCGTTTCCAGCTCAAACATTCTATCTCCTGAACAGTAGCAGTCGCCATCAGTCATAGTGGTTAGCCTTTTCCCGCAGCCCAGGGGAGGAAAGAAAACCACAATCTTGACCTTAAATGATAAGATTATTTGGGTAAATCTAGCCTAAACTTAGAAGACCCTTTCCTAAGTTTATTTTAGTACCTTCTTTCAAGTCTCATGTTTTCCTGCTCCCTGAGGACAGCCTCCCTGACATAGCCAACAACGACTCGCTCGAGGCAATTTATCGAAGACATTTTCGAGGAAACTAAATATATATAAGGGGCTTTTACTGGAATATTCCGTATATATCTATCAATACAATAACAGTTCTTGTTTTGCCCAGTGCAGCATTGACATGCTGATCTCTGAATCGCATTTATTCACCACAAATTCCATCAGGTCCGGCTCTTCAGCCACCTTCTTGTCCTTACCAATTATCACTCATCATAACTCTTGTTCCCCTTGATTTCATTCCAGAAGTCAATAAAGTCCTCGACGCCTTTATTAGCCATGTTTTCGATATGGGGCATCTGCTCTCTAAGCCAAGCTTCTTCCTCGCCAGCCTGAGGCGCAGCCATTCCTCCCTCACGAATCGTGACCAGGGGTACGAATTTCACCATAATCAGCCTTGTCTTCTCATCCTCGTTGCTCCATGCTGACTTCTCGGACGGCGATGCGACTTGAAGCGTTTCGTACCAAGCTGCTTCTATCTTAGCACCGAGCTCATCGAAATCTGCTTTCGATCGGGCTGCAGATGTGCGAACATTTCCAGAAATGCGATTTGATGTAAGAGGATGGGGCTTTCCAGCGACGAAGTAAGTGTTGTCGGTGCTATCTTCTGTAAAGAAGCGTACGTGGACCAAGAATGCTGGTGTCTTGAAGGCTTCGCAATGAAGCCTCGTGATTGCAGTTGCTAGGTTTTGACGTTGGTCCTGTGTGAGAGGACAAGAGTGGTGGACTTCGTAGAAAGGCATGATGAACGCGTTGATGGTTCTTTGATAGTATAAAAAGGAGGATAAGTTTTTATGTATGTGGAAGCAGTTAAATAGAGGGTGATGCTAACTTATACTGGCCACAAATGCGGGGTCGGCTTATTGATCCATGGATGACGGCCAAATTGCAAGACATTGCCGTGAATAACATCACAGAGGTAATTACAAGTTGCCAATGAATTCAATTACATCAGCACTGATAAAGCTATATTATGGACCATTGAGAGGCACGTTCTTCGATCGTATGCACGTTTTGCTTGTCCAATATTGACAACGATTCCAAATGGAGTTGTCGACGTAATTTCTACCACTTCTCAACGTATGGCCGGATATCGATCTCCTGGGTAAATGCAGAGCGATGTTGAGTATGAAGATTCCAATAAGCCTCAGCAATCTACAAATTTCATTAGTAACTTTCAAGCCAATTGTGTTGATCAGCTTACCGCATCAGGACTAATCTTTCCATCCTCGACACCGTCATTAGCAGCCCATTGCTTCGTACGTGGGATATCGATGACTCCGTCAATCACCGCATGAGCTACATGAACACCCTTTGGACCGAATTCACGAGCAAGAGATTGATGCATCGCGCGTTGACCCCATTTTCCAGCTGCAAAGGTGCTGAACTACGCGGAACCCTTAACGGAAGCTGTGGCGCCAGTGAGGATTAGGGTTGGAGGGTAGTGAGAGTTTGGTACTGCTTCAAGAAGATGAGGAATAGTAGCTTGCGCAAAGTTGAAGAATGCTCGGCTTGTGTTGTTAGTTGACAGCATCTTCAGTTGGACGGAACGACATACATAGATCCATCAATGCTGGCATTGAGGTCATTCTCTGTGAGCTCCAAGAAAGGTTTCTTAGCAAAGCCACCGCTTCCGACGTTGTAAACAGCGGCCGCGAGTTGACTGTCTGGCAATTCCTTGTTGATAGTCTCAAAAGCCTTCTTCAAAGATGCAGCGTCTCCAACGTCGGCTGAGACCCCGATCGCCTTACCACCCGCCTTCTGAACATCTGCAAGAGTACTCTCGTAACTCTCAGGTCGACGAGCAAGTAATACTACCGGGTATTTCTGAGCGAATCGTAGAGCGACTGAACGACCTGTTTGAAGATTAGTAAGTAGGGGAAGTTGAAAGGAGGGGTAAGCTTACCAGTGCCAGGGCCAACGCCAGCGATGAGAGCGTAGAAGGACTTGGATGACATTGCGATAATTGGGTGGTTGTGTATGTGATGGATGAACTGTTAGATAGAAGGGATATTTGATTGTGAAAGGATCGCGGGAATTAATAGAAAGATGAATGGTCAAAGTGGCATAATCACTCTGCCTCGTTACGTCATCTGCTAGACTGCTTATAAATATCGCTGCATCAACATGGCGTTTCGCGTCTTCAAATCAACACCGACGGTGGCTGACTGATGAACCTCGGACTACCGAAGCATTAGACTGTTGACAAATCAAAATACCCGAAGCGCTTCTGATCTATTGATACTTGGTATTCTGCTATGCTATCCAGATTATTTGATATCGTGCTTAACCTTGTCTACCCATTTGCTCCCAAGCCCATTGAGAAGAGGGACGCGAACGAAATCCGCGATATCACGATACAAAACTTCTCGCTTCTGCTTTCCAACTGAAACGTTCGTCTTCTTTGCCTTTTTCATTCCTTTTTTGGCCTTGCCGAGTTTCGATCCAACTTCCCATATCATCCAATCCACGGCCACGCGTGTGATCTTGCTATAGTCTTCCCATTTAAAGACCCCAGCAGCGCTGTTCACACCGCCGTTCAGAACTTGCTCAAATATTGCGTGCAGGAACTCCAAGCCCTTCTCCTGATTTTCAGCAAGGCTGGACCATGAGCCGCCGGTAATAAGAGTGACGGTTGTCAGGTTGCGGCCACGGCATATTATTCTAGCGATGTCTGCCTGTCTCTATTTTAGCAACGTCTTCTCGCCCACAGGTTTCGGTACTTACAAGTTTGGTCGGCTCTGGAATAAACTCAAACACCTTCAAATCTAGAAGATTATCAACCAGAGTCGAGACTGTGTCAGGCTCCAAGCACGTTATTTTATAGCCACTCGTCACGCCTCTGTAGGATATTTTCAGCTTGGTCAGTTTCTCATGTTTGAGAATGGCTCTGACGAGTGAGCTCTTCAGACCAGGGTTGACCGTGATCTCTTGACGGTATTGACCGTAGTCATGCAGCTCCAGACAAGTCAAAGTGTCGAAAGACGATATAAAGTCGATTCTGGCGTCAACGTGTGCTTCTTGCTCCTCGGGTACCGCAAAAGAAGTTTCCTTTCCCATTTCAATGTCCAAATTGCGTAGTCTGATTTTGGCCTTTTGATCATCTCGAGCCTTCGAGAAGGCATCGCTGAGATACTCAAACAATATCTTGAGGTCATGTGAAAGATAGCCAAACTTCAATTCTTCTAGCGCAACAAAGTCGACAGCATTTGCTAGAGCACTCAGAAAGTCTTCATCAATAGTTGCTCCAGTAAGAGAGAATGATTTGAGTGAGGTAAGGCTCTCGCCTTTCGGCCAGTCATCCAAGAACACAGAGCTAAATGATCCAGTTTCTATGTCCAGACTTCGAAGGGTCGCCCGAGAATTTAGAATCAAGGATAATGGAGTGTTGTCTTTTCGGAAGTTGGGGCTAGCAAAACCGAGCAGATGGATGGCCAAGTGTTTGAGATCTTTGATTTTGGCTAGCGGTTTTGCTTCGCTTTCTCCCAGGTTACTGGCAGAAACACTCAAGGCTCTGAGATTCTTTTGGCTTGCTAGACTCTTGGAAATAGATCTGAAGCATGTTAGCCTGAAAGTTCGCAGCAGAAGAGATTCGGCATACTCTGTAATACTGGAGCTTTCGACGACCTCAAGATTGGACATATTCTTTAGAGCTTCCTCAACATATCGATTCACAATGAACTTGTGGTTTTTCCCTGGGTCGCCGATGAACAGACTGGCTTGACGGGCGTACTCCCCAAACCGAGGCTTCTTTTGGGGATCAACAACGTTTGGAAAGCTTTCTTGCTGGCCTCTGTACTGGCCCTCCTTCCTGAGTTGTTTTCTTTGATTAATAGACAGAAAAGGCTGAAGAGTTCGGATTAACTTGGGAATATGAGCATGATAAGCTACAGAGACATCGATGCGTTCGTAGAGTCGAGGCGCAACTATGGCAACGTAGCTCTTGTTGGTGCAGCTCAGTCTTCCAAGCGTTCTAGTATCCTCGATCTGATTGCGTTCAGCACTTCTCTAATTGATTAGTGGATGGTGCTAATCTCACATGGTCCAAAATCAAGTTCAGAATCTCTCGTGGACAGGACCAAAGAAGGTCGGTTGTTGTAGTCATTGGTGACTTCGCGGATAGTACTTCAGCCTTCTTACGACTAGAGTCTGCCTTCGCTTTCTTTGTAGCTGGCCTTCCATCATTGTTGGACGCTTGTCTTTTCGCATTACCGATGACGAGGGGCTTTTCATGCAATTCGTTCACTGTTCCTTTGCGCTTGCCTGTTTTGCTAGACATATCAGGGCCGGGGTCATCTTGGGCACGTGTAGGCGCCCGGTCCTGCAGAGCGTGAAGCCTGGCGCTCCTTCGAGTGGACATGATCAAATCACGGTAAGAAGATATTTGGGTGGAATGGCGGGAGCCGCGAAGGTTGTGAAGGAGATGAAAGGAGTATAAGCCGAAGCTAAGGTTACGCGACGTGTTACCGGACCTTGAGCGATATCACGTGACAATGTTGAAAGTGTACCCCGTACAGGAGTCCTAAAGTCCTCGAGGAGTACAGCCTTCATGATGTGACCGTATCACAACAAAGGTTCTGCGACATTGTTACTATTTTAATACGACTTGGCGGAGCTCCTGGCCCCATCTCCCAACTCCAAAATACATAAATTAGACTCTAACTCCTCCCCCAATTCAGCCCCTCAACACTCAAACGAATACACAAGAACGCTCGACATTCATGTTTACGACCGTTCGAAGATCCATCAAGTCTCCAATCAAGAGTTTCATGGATCCGGGCCAGATGCAGAGAATTTCTGGGAGGTATCGCATGCCGCCAGAATGGCTGAAGCACTCGCAAACGCTGACTGCATGGCCGTCTGCCGCCTCTATTGTAGAGGAGAAGATCCTTCGACAGGCGCGCGCGGAAGTCTCGGCTCTTTCCAACGCCATCTCCCGCTTCGAGCCAGTCACAATGTTTGCCCGCCGGGAAGACGTCCATGAAGCATCTGAAACAGTGTCTGATAACGTCACTGTGCGACCACTGGCCGTGAGCGAGCTTTGGATCCGCGATACAGGTCCGGTCTTTGTTCATGGAACGCAAAATGGCTGTTCTACTGGGCTCAAACTTAATTTCAACTACTGGGGGGCCAAGATACCATCCACTGGTGATGAAGCGGTTGCTGCGAATATCCAGATTCCAAAAGCTTCACTCATAGACCATAAAGATGAAAAAGACGGAAGTGCGCCCAAGGCAAATGTTGTACCTATAATTGACGCCGGCTTCACTAGTGAAGGAGGCGCGATTGAGGTCGATGGAGATGGAACACTTCTGGTGACTGAGAGCTCCATCATCAATGAGAACCGTAATCCCGGGAAATCGAAAGAAGAGCTGGAACAACTATTCGAGAAATACTTTGGAATCCGCAAAGTGATCTGGCTTACTGGCGTCAAAGACTATGATATTACTGACTTTCATATCGATGCCTTTGTAAGGTTCATCAAACCGGGCCAGGTTCTATTGAGCAGACCTTCTGAACGTGCTGATCCGCGGGTGATCCAAGCCTACAAAGAAGCCAAGCAAACTTTGGGAAACGCAACAGATCATCGAGGAAGACCATTGGAAATCTTTGAAGTTGAAGAGCCTCATCCCAGTGACCTCCCTGGCGACAATTGGGATCATTTCGATGTCACAGTTGCTTCATACGTCAACTACTACCTCCCCAACGGAGGCCTTATAATGCCACGCTTTGGAATCGGAAAACTTGATGATGATGCCTACGCCTTGTTCCGCCGACAGTTTCCAGATCGAGAGATTGTTCAGGTTGATTTGAACATCCTTCCAAAGCTCGGTGGGGGAATTCATTGTGCTACGCAGCAAGTGCCGGCGGAGGATTGGATGCAGAGAGGAATACGAAGAGGGGAATTGAAGTTCTGATGTCGCGACTTATGCACTGAGAGAGACAGTGGTAATTTGATGACTGTAGTCCTAGGAGTGTCGAACAGTACTGTCTTTTTTTTCAATATACTCCACTCAATTTCATCACTTAATTCTTTACGAGGGAGGGATACATGATAGTGAATTATGTAACAGTAAAGTTGAAGGGATATATCTGTTTCGCATGAAAGGTTTCTCTGAGTCGTTTATTCATACCGTCGCTCTAATAATACAGGAATTCATATTCTAACAAAGACGTGCAGGATGTGGCATATTCTCAATATTCGTTGCTGCACCTGGCCACGATGTACAGGGCGTCGCAATTGTTGTTGTTGCGCCTGGAATCAACAGACAGGGGGTCACAATCGTTGTCTCTGTGGCGGGCATGGACGTGGAGGTCTAGCCCGTCCGTCCCCTCCATCGTTGTTGCTGTGCCTGGCCTCGGCATCCAGCCCGTCTCCGCCGTTGATTCTGCTTCTAGCATCGTCGTCCCCCCATTCTTCTACCGCCGCCCATCATGCCTCCCATACCTCCACCCATGCGTCGTCCGCCTCCCATTCCTCCCATCATACCGCCGCCCCCCATGCGGCCTCCTCCCATGCCTCCACCCATTCGACCTCCGCCGTGGTGATGGTGGTGAACTTCCTTGACGGGGCGAGCACCCATCATCCCACCGCCACCAGAGCTATAGCGGGTTTGGCTTCTTCCGAAGGGGAGACACATTGTGATTGTAGCTGTGTGTTTGATGTGGTTTGAGTTGTAGGCTTTGTGTTGATTGAGTTTGTTGCTGGTATGCAGTGGAGATTGCCTTGTTGTAGGTTCTGTCGAGTTTGTGTGTGTTTAGAATTTGTTGATAAGGTATCTGATAAGGGGTATCTGAAGGATTTGAGTTGTAGTGTTTAGTGGTTTCTTATTGATGATGATGATGATGATAATGGATTGCGATGAAGGGAATCAGAGGCAGTATATATAGTCTTCAATGCCGTGTATGACATCTCCATCTCGGCATTCTGTTGGAAGGGGATAAACTTGGATGCATC